AAAAACTACTCTCTTATGATTAAAATCACCTCGTAGATTCACCAATTAAATTTAATATAAATTATATATTTAATACTTAAACTATCAGTTTATTTTCGTTTTAGTACATAAACTTTCAATTTCTTCAAAACCATACATAACGTTTAGTTTTTGTTTCATTTTAGTACATCGCCGTTAAAAACTTAACGGGTAATTTGCACATTGCACAATTTTTATGGAATAAATTGCATCATTCATCACTCAAATATCTTCTCACTCATGTCTTAATCATTAAAGTTTTTTTAAATTTTATTACTTAACTTTTAAATTACTCATAATTTAATCACTCTATCTTTCAAATATATTTTTATTTTAAATATATTAATAAAAAAATAAAAAAATTGTACGTCACAAAAATTGTTAATAAAATAAATTAGAATGTTTAAAATAAGAGTAATCTGAAATATGGGTAGTTAAATTGAGAACTTTTAAACTTTAGTACCAAAATAGGAGTGAGAAGATGGTTGGGGGATGAATGATGTAATCTACCCATAAAAAATACAGTGCCGTTAATTTTTTAACGACGACGTACTAAGATGAAATAAAAAAAATTAAGTATAATTTTAAAAAATTAAAAATTTAAGTAATAAAATAAATTAAAATTGATAGTTTATATATTAAACACGTAATTTATCCCTAGATTTAAATTAAATGCTCAAAAGTGAATCAAATGCCATATATTTCACATTGGGAACCTCTCAACATGTTGAAACACAATACAATAGAGCGGCCATTATGACAATTGGGATTGGCCTCCATTTTATCCACTATAAATAAGACAAGGGTGGGTGGAGCGTAATAGATTAGAGGGCATGGTCACTTAAATTTCAGAAAATTAATATTTTTTAAAAAAAATTAAACTATAATTTGATCTTTTTAAGTATTTTTAATGAAACATCTCTTAATATATTTTTTCTAAAATACTCATTAAATCTTAAAATTTTGAAAATATAATTTAGACCCTCATTTTTTAAATAAATTAATTATAAATTTAATGCTCTTGATTTCATTATTATCCATTTACATTTATACTTATTTCCTCCACTCATAATTCAAAAGTGGAAAAGTGGCTTCTTTCACTAAAGCATTGAAGAACTCAGAAAATAAAGTGGAAAACTATAGTCACATTTCCACTCTATTATATATATATATATTATTTAAAAATATATATTTCCTCACATGTTAAAAATGATTTTTTTTTAAATTATACAAATTAAATCTTATCTTTAGATTTTTTATTTAAACACTTCTTATATCTTTATTAATTTTAAAAGTAAATAAATTAAGTTTTGATCCTCAATTTATAAATTTTAACTTTTTTTTATTAATATGGAGTAAGTACAAGGCAATATCTGTTCGAAAATAGTTCTCAACCATTTTACATTGAATATTCACACCCCTGACAATCTTAATGCTCAAACCCGAAACCTCAAAGAATAACAATATTTCCTTTACCACTAGATCACTTGATTCATGCTTAAATTTTAATTAAACGATTAGTCCATTTTTATTAAATATTTTTACATTTAATTTACTAATTGATTAATTCAGATAAGTTATATAAAATTTTATGATGAAACAAACTCAAAATCATAAAAACAACTTTTAATTAAAAAAGGTAAGTAAATTATTTAGAGTACCGAACCGAGTGGATCCGAACTATTATGAAGTCCCAAAATGATTAGAGTTCGAGTCAAACAAAACGAGTACGTTTTGGTTAAGATGGAGATATTTGATGCCTATTGATATGTCCAATAATTCACATGCAGCCATGTGTTTGTTGAGTATACATAAAGTTTCAAACTATTAAAAAGGTCAACTATTAAAAATCTACAATCTTTTGTAGTTCTTCTACATCGGTAACTACTTGTGACTATCTTAGCAGCCTCCTTGGCGTCACTCCAATGGCTGAACCAAGCCATTACCTTGGGATATCGATGGTTGTTGGGTTAATAAAATTGCTGCCTTTGGTTATATCCGTGACCGGTTAGCAACTAGAGTCTGAAGATGAACAAAAAATTCTCTTTCTTATGTGGGGACATGCTGTTTATATTCAATATGTAATGGGGTGTTATTTATTGCATGAGGGCATCGTCTCGTATATAACATCCATCGGCCAGACTCTTCATACATATGAAAAATTTGCTTCCCAATGTTGCTCAATGAACTCTCACCTTGCTCACAAGGTTTTTTCGGCTGAAGATGCCGTTGCAATACTGAACTGTCTCATCTCTCCCGAGCCATTTGATCTTTTAATTTGGAGCGGTCATTCCTCCGATCATTATTCTGCGCGTTCCAGGTACGCCTGGCTTTGACGAACTCACCATATGGCTAGCAATGTGTCTAAGTTGTGGTTGTTTTTGTCTCATCTCCACACTCTTCCAAAGGTACGCCTATTTGGACGGAGAGCAGCTCATGAAGCACTTCCAGTTGGATGGAGAGCAGGTCATGAAGCACTTCCAGTTGGATGGAGAGCAGGTTATGAAGCACTTCCAGTAGGTGCTATGTTTTCTCGTGTTGGGATTTTCGATGGTAGGTGTTGTTTCTGTGGTTCGACAACTGGGACTGTGCTTCATGCCTTGTGTGACTGTCCAGATGTAACTTATCTATGAGACTGCTGGTTTTACATCTTCGGTATACTTTTCTCCACAACCCTCGTTCGGTGTGTGGCTGGAACTTTTAAGGCTGAGACTGTTAATCGTTTGCTGGAGGTGTTATTATTGCTTTGGAATCTCTAGAATCGACGCAATGTATTTGTTCATGAAAGAAAATAGATTTCAGGTTTGCAACTTCTTGCATAACGTATGTCGATACAATCTGCATTCGTGGCAGCGTTGACTACTCACCGCCTCACCCACGTTGGTCTTTCTCCCTATGCAGCGCTGGACTAAACCGATGTATGGTACTATTAAAATCAACGTGGATGCAGCTCGTGTCTCCTCCTCTGGAACACCTACTATTGGGATTCTAACGAGGAACAGCCACAGTCTCGTTCTTGGTGGCTACGCTCAGCCGTTGGAGGTTCCAAATGATGTGGGGGTTGTCGAGTCTTCTGCCATATGCTTCGGTATACGGTTCGCTCTTGCTTTTCTGTCGGATCAAACTGTTATTGAGAGTTACTCGGTCAATGGTCTTCAGCATCTCAACTTGCATCCGACCATTCGCACTCAACCTATACGTCTGTCTGTAAATGGCGTGAAAAGTGCTTTAGCACGATACGCCTCGACAATGTCAACTGTCTTAGCTTTTGATTCTGATTACCCTTCTTGTATTGACGACATTGTAATATCGGATGCTATTTTTGGTTAATAAATACCAAGTTATCTTCAACAATATAAAGTTGATAATTAAGCTGCAGGACACCATGCATATCGCATGAATTTGCTAGATAATGTGATATACAGGCCCCCATAGAGTGAGACAAAATCGCTAGAACACTAAGGAAAATTCGAGCAACAGCCATGTTGCTCGATATACTTCCTCTATGTTCGTTTGACAGTAATCCGAGTGAGAGTAGTAGAAGTCGTTAGGGCAAGGTGACATGACCTCTTGCTCGAGCAACTGAACTACTTGGTTCATTGTTGGTCGTTCATCTGGATTTGCGTCGGTACACCTTGCTACTACTTGAAGTGTAACACCCCGATTTCCAGCTTAGTAATTCGGGCTAACCCGAGAGAGAATAAAATAAACCCATTAAGCTTATAAGAAACCCTTGTCTAATTATGGAGTGGTTTGGGCTTGGGTTATGCCCATTATAGTTTAAAAATGACTTTTTTTAATCGAGGATAGATGAGGAAGGACCAAAATAGCAATTAACCTCTTTTGTTTTCAAAGGCTGAAAATCTTTAATTGGTATGAGGGTACCTAGTCTGGGGTACTAGGTAGATGCTGGTGTTGTGTGACCTAGATCTAGTGCAAGGTTCTTGTAGTAAGCAAATAGGAGTGTGAGTTCTGTGATACTAAGTAACCCTGAGCTATACCATGATGCTTACTTTTATGTTTGTTGTGTTGAGTGTACTCAATATTCATAACCATACTAGTCGATTGTTTATATGTTGGATGCATGTAGTATAGTAGGGTTATTTGTGTGGCACTAAGCTTGTGAACTTAGTGTAAGGAATGTGCTTCATGCACAGGTTCTTAGGTGTTAGTTCGAGTAGCTCGTCGTCAGACTTTAGAATTTCTAGACTTGATCTTAATCAAAATACGTCTCAGGTATTATAGTGTGCATATAATATCATAAACCCTTTGTGTAATATTTGAGTCGTAAACTCTATTTGAACTTATGTATTTTGAACATACTTATGGGAGCTCTCCACCGATTGTAAACCTAACTTATATTTTGCGAAAGTATTATGTTTGGTATTTCATTATGTCTTGAATTTATGAATACGTCGAAACGATTTCAGAAAAAAATGATTAGTCACTTATGTGGTTCTGTGTAATGTTCTAATCTTTAGAAATCCGGGTCAAATCGGATTACAATGTTACATCAAAAATTGCTTCTAAAGTTTCCATGTCGGTGTCGTTACACCTTCGATCGACTATGTCTTCCAATCGGTTCTCGTTCAAAAGAGTGCTCATCTGCACGAGTTCGAGAAAAAATACAAATTTCAATGTGCATTTAGCGGCTTAACTCGAACGAACAGTTCTCTATCATAATAGCAGAAGAGGTTTGAGGAGCTTACCCAGCCAACAACATTCAAGACTATATAGAGAATCTTTAGGTCGCTAGTGACCCACTAAGATTCGTAATGATAAAAATATTAGAGGAAGTTAAATAACCTACTAAATGATTTGGACAGTGTAGAAACTCATGCCACAATAAGAAACAATATTAATCAAGGGCAAAATTCCAACATTCTTAAATAATAATGTAATCCATTTCATACCAAAGAGAACCTGACAAGGAACTTGATTACAAATTCAAGCTGTTGATCTACTCATTCATCTGAGCTTTGTTTCAGCATCTCTAAGAACCCTAAAGTGCAAAGAGCTTGAAAACAAATTAGCTAGCTGAGTTTAACAAGAAGACAATGAGATTGAGAGGTGGAGGCTCACAGTTTCCCCTACTTTCTCATTTCAATTCGGTGAAGAATGATCCTTTCAAGATTTTGTCCAGAACAAAACAGAACATTTTTCATGCATTGCAAATTCCAAATGAATAATGCACTCTCTCATGATGCATTTACTTGGATATATTTCGATAACCCTGAATTTATTTTTCTCTTTCCTGGTCCCTGGATGAACGAAAGCACGTGAACGGTGAACCCCACGAAAGATCGGCAGACAAACAAGTTATTTAGTAGCAAGATGAGGTCCACCAGCATTCTGATATGCATCTATGGCTTTGGTTAGCAATACAAATCGCTTCGGCTTTCAAGATATGCCATTTAGGCTTATTAGCAAGAGAGTAATATACCATAAATTGAGATTTTAAGCCCTGGAAATTGCAATTATGTGAAATAAAATTTGAAACAAACGAGTCAAACAAGATTGATGAACAAATGAGAAGTTTAGAATCTACTCATACCATGCCGTATCGAAGTTTGTCCAAGGCGTGTATATAGATGACTGTTTGAGATTGTCATCTTACAATTCTACTGAGCTGGGTAACTAGATCCTTATCTCCAGAATTTTTCAGATGTTCAACAATTTTTTCAACATAAGGAGCTTCCATGCGAATCTTCTTCTTAAGCATTGACCTAGCTAGCCTTGCAGCTTCAACCGAATGGCTTTGCTGACACAAGCCAACCAAAAGAATAGAATAGATATCAGAATCAATGGATGAAATGAATTGCATCCGCTCAATTTCATCATAAATGCGAAAACCATCAAGCACTCGTCCCTTGCGACACATCTCCCTAATCATAACACTAGAAGCAATGCCGTCTGGTTTAGTCCCACTTTCTAACATCTTCCTAAAGACCTTCTCCGCCTCATCAAGTCTTCTCATCCTAATCAAAGACACCACAAGAGAACTATAGCACTCACCATCGGAAACACCATTTCCAGCAACTTTATCAATCAACTTATGCGCTTCTTCAACATTTCCCTCAGCACAGAGCCCCTCGATCAAAGTAATAACAGTTACACGATTAGGAACACACCCATAAGCTCCCATTCTATCCAAAATTCTCAACGCCTCCATTGTCCGACCCTTCTCGCAAAAGCTTTTAATCACTGATGTGTATGTGATGACATTTGGACTACAACTCCCACCTACTTTCTCCATCTCCCCCAAAGCTTCCATTGCCTTCTCTGTACTCCCATGCTTACACAAACACTCAAGAAGCACGGAATAAACCACGGAACTCGGAGAAAACCCTTGCCCCCTCATTGTCTGAAACAACTCACAAGCATCCTCCAATCGACCAGCATTACAGAACCCTTTGATCATCACAAAATACGTAATCATGTCAGGATAAAGATCAATCAAACCAAACTCCTTCAACAATTTATCAGCCATATCCATATCCCCTTTCTCGCAAAACAGCCTGATAACCAAATTGTAAACAGTAGTATCCGGGCGTAAATTAAATTCAGGCATTTTCCTCAGTACCAACAAAGCCTCATCAGCAATCATAGCTTCTTTACACAAATTCAAAATCACCTTAAACATTTTAACATTAACCAAACACTTTTCCACCTTGTAAGCTTCAATAACATCCAAAACAAGACATGGGTTTTGCTTAATCTTCAAAAATTCACAAGCTTTGCTATACATAAAAGAGCTATACCTATAATTTGACTGAAGACCTGCCCATATAAAGAACCTCAGACCCATTTGAGATACACCAAAGGAGCACCTTTTTAACACCTCGCAGACACAATTTGGGTCCAATTTGGCATCGACTGAAGCTAGTGTTTTCTCCACGTTGCTTTGTTTTTTCTCTAAAATGGTAAAGAATTTTTCAGCAGAACAGGCCGAGCTGAACCGAAAAGTGAAAACTTTGGTCTGTTTTGGGTAATTTGCGAGTGAAATCAATCGGGAGAGCGAAGCAATTGACATTGTTTTGGGGGGAAATTTAGGGTTCTTTTTTTCCAACAGAATGTTCGTTAAACCCTATTGCTGAACAAACAAAATGTAAGAAACATCTTCGGTTTAAGGCCCATACAATTTAAGGTCCAATTCTATTAGAAAACATCATCTGTTCTTATTAAAGTCTAGTATGCTAGAATGCAAGTGTAGTGTTCAAGTTTGCATGTTCTAAAACATGAAAATTTGTGAAGAAGATAGAAGTACAAAATTAGTACTTATCTCTTCTTCATCTTCTAGAGTTAAAGACAATATAGATATTGAATACATCCATCAAACAATCTCCTTTGAGTATGTATATGAATGTTGTTTCTTCTTCCGAAAAATCAAGTAAGCATCTCTACGTCTCTCGAGTTAAAAACTGTCTCACATCTTTTAAAAAGTTACGAACTTTTGACACGAATTTTGTAAATTAATCATAATCGTTAAATTTGCCAACCTAGAAATAATCATAATAATTTTATTTCCAACATCAGCATTAAAAGTCAAAAGTTTGAGGTTGAAGAACGAGGTTATAGCAAGTGCCATTAACCATTTCAGGAGTTTGTTCGGTTCTGACGGTATAAATATGGGCTGTCCATGATATATTGTTATATGCTTGGGGCTTTGGTTTCAGAAGGGTCGAGCTGGAAACAGATTATCTGAAGACGGTGGAAATTCTCAAGCAGCTACTATCCAACGTTGTCGAGGGTAACGTGATTGTCACCTTGATCCGTGAATGGTTAAACAGAGATTGAAAAACGAAGAGTAATCACGTTTGTCGAGAGGCTAACCAGGTCGCTAATTAGCTTGCTACAATGGCTAGAGGTTGCCTAACAGAGGTGACTCATCACCGCGTTCCTCCTCTTGAGGTGGCTAGTCTTGTGTTCTACATTATAAAAAAAAATCAAAAGTATCTCGATCAATACCAATAGAGAAATATGAACTCTCCCCTTCATTCACCACTCTTCTACCTTTTAACTCTTCTACCTTCTAATAGAGAAAAAAAGTTCTAACATCAATCAACTACCATTCTACCTTCTAATAGAGAGAGAAGGTTTTGATATCAATCAACGACCATTAATAACAAAATCACAACTTAGTGAGAATGAATATGTGTTCATCTTGAAGTTCAAATTTTCTTCGAATAATTATTTATTTTGTTAATGGTGTCAATCCTAACAAATATTTTTAGTGATACACTCATCTAATCCCATGAAAGATAGGCAAACAAACAAGTTATTTAGACTAAATTAACATAGATCTCCATGGATGATATTTCATGTAACTATAATTTTGAATCAAACTTCTAATTCAATATAATTGTGCTTAAACACGTTCGAAATATTGGGACTTTAAAGGAAAATACAAAAAAAAAAAGGAGAGCTATCCCTTATATATTGGAAGTGAAATTTGGAACACAACATGTGCTTTTTAAAAGCGTTGGTTGAACTAACACTTTACGCTTAGACTCAACTAGCCTCACTAGTTATAAATTTAACACCAAAAATTAATTAAACATGTCTTAGACCTAGAAACCTTTGAACAAGGGGATTTTGACCGAAACGTCCTTCGAACTCGGTTTGTAATTACGATCGAGGACGAAGTGCATCGAACGCTCTATGACGGATGGGGGCAGATGGGGCCCAGTGATTGATCGGGATGTGGTGCCTGTGGTGATGAGACCGTGGATCAACGGTGGATGATGCGTTTGGTGGGACCCCCACCCTCTCACATGATGGGCACATGGTGAGCGTGGTTGGTGGGTTCATTTGCATGTAGAACTGCGGGGAAAGTTTCAGTGCTCTCAGCCCATGTACCTCTTTCTGCAACCGCCTGTTCTCCTCCGTCAGATTCTCAAACCATCTCTTCAGGAACTCGCAGTCAACTTCAGTTTGCTTAAGCTTAGTCCTGCGGAAGGAAAACCAAAAAAAATTTAGTACAACGATATATATGTTTAAAGATCTCTATCAAGATTAGATAGAATTAAACTAAAGGATAAATTAAACGTTTAATATCTAAATTATTAGTTTTAATACATTTTAATACTTAATTTTTGTTTCATTTAATTACCTTTCAAAATTTAAATATATACTTAAAATTTTAAATATTAAATAGATCAAAATTGATAATTTAATTATTAAAATAATAAATAAATATAAATATTATGTATTGTTTTCGAAAAATTGAAAGTTTAAATTCTGAAACCAACAAAAACTGATGCGTGGTTTACCATAAACTAAATTTGATTACCTTGCCCTTCTGTTTTGGAACCAAACTTCGACTTGTCTTGGTCGTAAACCCAGCTGCTTAGCCAAAGCCAACTTTTGCTTCTGCAAAAGACATTCATTACCATCAATATGTATTTTCTTTTTCCTTTTCTCGGGAACCAAACGGTAATTTTCTCGGAAATCAAATCGACTTACTGGGTTGAGAGTGTGGTGTTCTTTAAAGCATTCTTCGAGAATCGCGGACTGGTCCTTAGAAAGCCTAAGTTTCTTCCTCGAAGTGTCGCCATCTTCTTCGTCACTGACGCCATGAGAGGAAGCTCTTTCGAGCTCGAGCTCGTTGCTGCCGTTGTTTCCTTCTCTTTCGCTCCTTTTCCCGCTCACACTACTCGATATCGTGCTGTTTGGGGACGAAACTCCGGCTTCTTCTTCGCAATCGGCCGTTGACGGAACCCTATTTACGTCGATTCCTCCGAGAAACAATTTAGTACTACTCTCGACCGGCAAAGATTCCGGGATAGTATCTGCGTGCAAAAGCCAAACTTTTGATCAGATTTAAGAAAAAAATAAATAAAAGTAAAGCTTAGAAGAGAAAAAGAGATATACCAGAAGCAGAAGATAGAGCGACAGAGGGACTAAGATTCGGCTGAAGATGGTTCTGAGGGAAGCTCAAGCTTAGACTTAAACCCAGATCTTGGTGATCTTTTCCCATTATTTTCTCGTTGGCCGAACAGATATATTCTTCTTGAAAACTAATGGATGGATGCGTATGGGAAGTGGAATATGGGATTTATATAGAAAGGCAGAGAAACATGAGAGAGAGAGAGTGGTGCTGTAAGTTCAATCATGACTTGTTGTCGTTAGACCTATATCTCAATCATGTCATGGCTTTTGCTTCCCAAAATAATTTCCATCTCTCTTGGACTTGCATATAATTATAAGAATAAATATTAGGATATTATTTTGGCCAAATAATATGATATAAATTGAGATTAACATTAAAAAATAATAATATTCACTGAAAATAAAAATAATTAATTAATCTCATTTTTTTATTTTTTATAATTAAAAGATCCTAAAAAAAAGTGTAAAATTAAAATATTTTACAGAGTGTAAATGAACCTTAATCCATTATAATTTATGTATGATTTTTCGAAATTAATATAGGACTTGGATCTGACTAGTTTTGATATGATTTTGTAATTATTTTCTGTAAAAATTTAAGTTCATGCAGGGGCGAAACATAAGAATAACTAGGGGTCATGAACCCTGAAAATTAAAATATATATTTAATTTAAAAAAAATAATTTGTTCCCCAATTTTATTAAACATTCAAATTAAACATTTAATTTTTAATTTTTTTAATTAAACTCTTCCTATAATATTTTAAAATTCTCATTATGCTTTTCAAATTTTCAAAAAAAAATAGTTAGACTCTATTTAAAAAAATGTAAATTAAACCCTACAAAAATTTTTTTAAAAAAATTTTAAACCTTTGAATTTTTTAAAATTTTAAGTTGTCCCTACACTCTATCACCATAAATAATATATTTAATCTGACTTAATTAAAAAATACAATTATCTTTTATATATTTAATGATAACTATAATAATATGTCTATATGATTTTTTGTAAGTGAGTCTCTCTTTTATTTGATAAAGTATAATATATAACATATTATATAATTTGTATCTCAAAATCAAATTGGATGAAATTTTCTTAAACTCAAATTGAACATGTGACGTAAAATAATATATTTTTTAAATCATATACAAATTGATCGAAAACTCGACCCAACTCCTATCAATTCCCAATGATTTGTGTATGTTGCTTCTTATATTGTCAATATAAATGTAAATTATTAGAAACAAAATATGAAACTTTAATTAAATTCAATATTTTGTTGACAAATGTTTTAATGGTACTTTCCAATTAAGGAACCATAAATATGCTATTGACAAAGTTTCATTATTCATGCCAATAAATTATCAAACTGTGATTATTTAAAGATGATAAGAGATCATTTTCACGAGTTTGACTATAAATAATACAAATATAGATCAAAATACAATATTTATTATCATAATAAATGTTGGAAACTTTATAAAAATAGTCTTCTGACCGTATGATAATGTTTTATTGAGTCAATTGACTATTAAAATTTAAAAATGATCCTTGATTAGAGAGTTGCTCTGTTGAGTATCTCGACTATTAAAAGATAAAACGATCACTCCACTAATAATTATGTTTAAAACTTGTCATTTTCTGTTAGAATTTTGACAGAAATATGAGCTTTATGTTAAACTACTAAATGAGATATGATAAAATATGATATTATAATCTCAAATGACTATCATATATCGGTTAACATGTTAATGTCAAACTCAATCGATCGTTAATTTTTAACAGAAAATGACGAGTTTTGAACGCAATGAATAATCGAGTGACAATTTTGTAACTTTTAATAATCGAGAGACTCAACAAATGAACTCCTTATAGTTTAGGGATCATTTTATAACTTTTAACAATCAAGGTCTCAAAGCATTATTCTATAATAAGGGACCATTTATGTAATTTACCCTAGGTTTTAATATATTAATCATGAAAAATATGATTAATGTGAAGATAATATAAAGTAGAATTGTTAAAAAATAATTATTAATAATTAATACTCATGTATCTTTATATACTCTTTACATCCGATGTGTTTAAACTTCAAATTTAAAAAAATAAAATAATTTCGTAACCAGTAAAATTATTTGATTGAACCAATGGGGTTGGTTTGAGTAGTAAATAGTTTGATATCGTTCAAGTAAGGTTTCGGGTTCGAGTCATTGTATATGTATAAAATCTCTGCTAAAATTAAATGTTCGACACAAGTCGATCTGAAATAATCGAGGTGAAACCTTAAAACCTAGAGAAAAAATTTATTTGATTAAACAATGACACGAAATATAAAAATGATATAGCTCCATAAAACTTAATATTGGAAAAAGAAATAATCTTGAATGAATGGTGATGATTGGAACCGGACGGGCAGACAAAAATAAAATTATTTATTTATTTATCAGTTTTAATTATCGATGTAGGCCCCACAACAAGCCTCACCTCCCCATGCGATTACCACGAGGGATGGCGTTGCTTTCCTCACCTTTTATATCTATCAAAACAAAAACGCTTTCATTCCTTTCTTTTAAGAAATGTTGCCCATGCGAATACTGGAGCGTGAGCTTCACGGCCCTAATATCAATGGGCTAATTTTGTATAACCGAATAATACAATAATTTTAATTTGATTATCCCTTCCTTAATTTTTAAGTTAAATTATTTGATTATCTAAATGATAGTAATCAAATTATCTATGTTAATGTTTAAGAGAATAGTTGATCTGTTAATTAATAAATTTAATATAATTATATATTGTGTTAGTTTAGCGTTACTTTTAATTCAATATAATAATTTAATTCCTCAAATCATAATACATTTTATCAAATTTAATATAATTATATTTAATATTTGTCTTTATTTTAAATCTTACATTAACTACAATTTAATATATGTATATGTATGATGTTTAATTATAAGTTGATTATTATATTTTATTTACCATTTGAGGTGTTTTTTATATACTTTTGAATCATCCTAGATTATAATGTAGTATTTGTTCATAGTTTTTTAATCATTCGATAATACTTATACAAACTGCAGACGTAATTGCTCGAATCTAGTACCTCTAAGGAGAACAACATTTCTTTTAAGTACTAAGATCACTTATTGGGTTCGTGTTTTCATACTATATAAATACACTAGATTTGAGTCCTAACTGGTATACTTTTAATTTTTTATGTCATTAATAATACTCAGTTTATCCCACTAAATATATATTTAGTTTTTAAAATTGTTTGATTTAAAACATTTTATTAGAAAAATCAATAAACAACACTGTATTTTATTTTTTACCTTTATATGTCTCTTTTTATACCTATCAAAATAAATTTGTAAAAAATATCTATTATTTTTTATTAAATATATATCCTAAAATTATATGTATATTAATATACATGAGAGAGTATATAATGTTGTAATCTACATTATCATATAGGAGGTGAGGGTGACCACTGACCAGGGAAAGTGGAGTTCACGAGAGAGGGAACGAGAAGGGGAAGGGAAAAGGCATGGGTGACAAAACTTGAACTCACCCTTATCTCACGTGGACCAACATGTCTTGCGTTGGGAACACGTGCTCTCTGGCCCCACACATCCCTACCTTTCTTTCTTACCCACTTTGTCCCACCACGCCCGACAAAATACGCACGCACAATCATTTGAACCTTCGTCCTTCCATTCGTGGCCACGCCCCCTGTACTCTCCGTGCATTGCACGCCCGTCTCTCGCCCAATAATCATCCCGAGAACATTATTCTTTTCAGCCCACATGTATTTCAATCGACCTATCTCAGTCTCCAGGTTTTCATGCAACTTGGTCCGAAGACAGCGGTATCGCACAATAACGGATGGCGAATAAAATTTACCTGAATACCCTTTTGACTAAAAAGACCCTTAATCAAATGAGCTAATCATTATTGTAATTGATTGACTAAAGGGAACCCGAAGGGGACCCGTTTGTGCCCGTTCACTGTTTCGAAAGACTCTTTGAAGAGAGTCCCATGTGATTCTCACGTGGAGAAGACCCCTCTTAAAGTTGTTGCTCTCTCAAATCTCAATCAAACAATGTTGTTGTCATCATCTTTCTTTCTTCTTTTTTTCCTTACATTATTGTTCGAATGTTTTGTTTGCGTGGTTGGAATTTGAGCTCTCAATCACATGTGGATGCATACAAAAGCGGAATACGTGTTATTCTAAAATTAATTTTTTAATATTCATTATTTATTTTATTAAAAACATTTATCTTTATAAAATTCAATTTGTGCTATTACTACATATATTTATCTTAAAAATATTTCTAAATCCAACCGTGTATAATTTTGACGGACCCTTCCACTTGGATTACTCTTTAGTTGGCTGTGTTTTGTCTTCTCTGTCATGTCAATGTCCTCTATATCATATGGAATCTCTCAAATATTTGATTTCTCTTGTTAAACCACTACTACTTGTCCCTCCCTCCCCATTATCGATATAAAGATTTAAAGGCAAGGTTCTCGTTCCTCCATCACAATAGTAGATTTTTATTTAAAAAAATGACCAAAATTTTAATTTTTATGGTCTGAGAATTCTTTTATCATCGAATAACTAATTCTATAAATAATACATATTAGAGTAATATAAATTAAGTTCATAAAATAAAAAAATATTGTTATCTCAAATCTCTTATTGTTATTTTTTTATTAATCTATGATGATTATAAATTATAACACATGTTTTAAAGATTCTTAATAATTTAATAATTAACACTAAAATAGTGTACAATTGTTGATGCTTGAACCACATACTTCTAAAAATAATATATCTTTAATCATTGAATACGCTTTGTTCATATAATCTATTATAATCTAAACATTATGATGATTTTTCTATTTTATCAATACTTTTAAATATATTTTTTATGTAAACATATATATATATATATATATATATATATATATATATATATATATATATAATATATATATATATATATATAAAAGATAAACTATGTATTTAGTACATAAATTATTACTTTTGAGTCGTTTTAGTATCTAAATATTTAACTTTTTAAAACATTTTTTTTTCATTTTAGTGTATCACCGTTAAAAACTTAACATGTTTTGTATTT